ATATATATATATATATTTTAATATATATATATATATATTATGAATTTTAATTATAATATAATATTAATAATTAAAAGTATTTGTTTATTGCTATACAAAAGTATTATAAATTATAACTATATGAAATAAACATTTATCATTGCATATTAATACTAATTCAAGAACTTCTTATAAAATTAACATCTACTTCATTTCTCTTTTATTTTCATTCAATCAAACATTTATTCTACTTTATTTCTTATTTATTTCTTTTTTTCTTCACATGTTTTCTCTTCTCTTTCTCTCCCTCTATTTCCTTCAGTTTTTTACTAAACATACCCTAGTAAAATTCATAATTTTTATCCTTTATTTTTAATTTTGATTTTAATTTGATCTTTCAAGTTCAAAAAATTTTATTTAGTCCCTTAAAGTATCTCTATTAGACAAAATTGATCTTTTTACTAATTTGATTAATATAATGATATGTGGTGTGGTATGTTGTGAAATGAGATATCAATTAAAATTAACGTCGTTAGTGTAAAATTTGATGGAAAGACTAAATTGACTAATAAAGATTCTGTAAAAAAAACTAAAATGAAACTTTGTAAATTTAACGGACTAATAATTAAAATAAAAATAAAGGACAGAAAAATCTATTTTAACCTAAAATTTACATCCGGAAAAATTATAACAACTTCAATGTTACTACTGCAGCTGCTATGTCTTTGTATTTAGTTTATATTACATCTCTAACACCTCTTCTAAAAGAATGGGAGGATTAAATTCTAGATTATTTGATCAAATAAATTCTAATAGCATATCATGAATCCATAATCTCAAATGTTTAAAACTGTTATATAAAGTCACAAATTATTTTGTTACATTTCTCTAAGGTAAAATTTGGATCGCCATTTTCTAATGTGATCACAAGCTTCAGCTGGGAACGAGTTTTGAAATCACTGGGCCCTATAAAACTTTTTGGGTCTTGTTAGTATTTAGGTTCAATCATTAATATTAACAAATCTTTTCGAGACTCACTCATAGATTGCAATTCCAATTCAAAAGTAATTTTTTCTTTTAAAAAAAACTACCCTAAAGGACACAAACTCATATACAACATTCACACATAAAATAAAATTATTGCATTTTTTTTCTTCAAAATATTATTTCAGTGTAATATGGTCAGAGCTCAGGGATTCGATCTGAGGAGACATGAATTTATCTTAATGAAATCCATGTTAACTTTAACTTGACCATCATCATCGTTATATATTGGATGCCATTCAATTCCATAAACCTTGATGTCACAAATTAAGTAGCTGTACCTAATCCCCCACTTTTTCTACATTTTATTAAATGTAGGAATAAATTTCTTTCTTCTACATATACATTATGTGTCCCAGGCACTTTCATGTCTCCAGCATGCAAATACCATATGAAGAAATTAAAGATATGGTTACTATATTTGTGACATAGAGATGGACCCTCCTTTTCTTTGCAGTGGGTAAAATGGCTAGTTATTTTCCATCCTAACATTGCAAATCTTTGTCACTGAAATATGACCCAAGGGGTCCTGAGTTGTAGATGGATTGATTCAAATGAAAGGGAAAATCTCTTGTCATATGCACAATTAATGGATTTCATTAAAGATACTCAAACGAGTCTCTCTGAACGTGGAACCTTGCTTTTAAATGCCAGCCTTGTCGTGTACATTTATGCTTACTGTGACATTCTGTTGCCCGGAAAATGACTTGACAATGCTCGTGAGATCATCTTATAATGTTGCCTTTGCCAGAGAGACACTTTGGTTTTTCTTTTCCCTTTTTTCAACCACACTTGACACTACTTATTAGCAACGGTTAACAAAATTGTCATTTTATCAAAATTTCAAATCTTCCTCTTGTCCCATACCCTCCCATTTTAAGATCAAGGTCCTATGTGGATTGTGCCAATCTTATATAACATTATAATGCGTAAATTCTACATTTTTTTAACAATAAATTCCTTAAACATTCTTTGAAATTTTGTGATAACCCACAAACATTTCTACTCTTTCTAGATTTTACTCAATTATTTTTTAAGAAAAAACTAACATCTTTTAGACCTTATATTAATCCCTCTTGATTATTTTAAAAAAATACATATAATGGAGAGATTTATATAAATGTTACCAAAAACAAGGATGAAATACTAATTTAACATGCAATTGATTGAAAAATCGAAGACATAAATCTTAACAACTTATATCATAGATTTTGTCATAATTTAAGACTATATCCTTAAATATGTGTACAATTTTAGAATATATTTTTTAAGGTAATTAATGTGAAGTATCTATTAATTTAGTCGATAATATTTTTGTTGAAAATTTTTACCAATCACTTTTAATAAAGTTTTTTATTATTTTAAACTATAGTTTTTCTATTCAGTGTCGGAGTA